ATGCAGCGCCTTTGCTTCTGCAAGTGTTCGAGGCTTGCTGTTGCGTTGCTCAGACCCTGCCGCTCCCTACAATTAGCAGCTGCTTCCCTGACCTGTGCTCTGACTCCTAGTCAGGGTCAATGCGACACCGCAGAGCGCCCAGCAGAGGCAGAGCAGAAGGCCTGCAGTGGCCAGGAGCCCCGGAACATCCTCTAACGTCATTCCCTGCTGGGACCATGCAGTTAACACAAGCTGAGTGTGAAAGAACTGCCCCTCAGGCATAGAGCAAGGAAGCTGAGGAGAACTGTTTGCAAGGTGAACAGTTTTACGAGTTCTGGACCTCACCTTCATTGTGTTACTGTACTGGCCTGCACTCAGTTTCTCTGCCATGGGCCTTATTGCCATACCCCGGTACCCCATAAAGGCACCCCCAGGCTTACTACAACCTTTACAATAATCCTGAAAGAATGCGGATCCACTAAGGCGGCTGCGAACAGGAGTTACTCCCATTAGACTCATCCCACCCTCCTGGAAAATGTCAATAAAGAATGCTACATTCGCTTCTCCTACTGGGGATTACTAATGGGCGAAGGATCTCAGTAGCCAGGAGGGGCTCAGAGACTCATCCACGAGATGCTGTTACCCCAAAGACCATAAGCCACCCTTACTCTCAGGACAAGGAAAGATTGCCATTCCCCAAGCCACAGTCATTGTATTTAGCAGCATATAGAGGGTCCCAAGTACACAGTAACCTTTAGCTACTCACAAGACCACATTCCTTTCCTATGTAGATTCACCCTCTTAGCTGTAGACTACCCCAGAGATAACATAAGTATTTCACTTTAGTATATACTAACCTTGTCTTTACTAAACCAGACAGGATTTATTTCTAGGCTCCTGTAATTACTGCCACCCTAGCCTGAAGCTAAAGTTCTCAAAAGCTGACCAGAGACTCAAATTCTCAAGCCAATCTGGGACTAAAGTGATCAAGATTCCTGGGAGCCCTCTCATCCAAAGACCCTCCCTGGTAATCAAGATCAAAGAAGATGATGCACCCAAAAAATGGACTTCCTCGTTCTAAAAATTATGACTTTATACCTAAACAAAGCAGACGTCATGTTTTATGATTATTGTTCCTATACTTTGAATGCCTTACCTTTTAGAGCAAAATGTTTCACTTACTTCCCCTCACCCATCCCACTGCTGTAAAACTCCTTCCATAATAAATACGCATGACTTCTGGCCATCAGGGCTGCAGTCCGGAGTTTACTCTGGCTGTAGCCGGCTAAGAACATGCTAAAGGGCATGAGGTCTTAGTCTGATTCCTGTTCACCCGCATCGCCTTCATGTGCACCCACTCGGGCTGGGGTATGGCTCCCAGCAATTTCCTGTCCAGGGCACCTCCCCTGAGGCATGCCTGGGCCCGCCTCCTCTGTGGGATGGTCAGGCCCCAGGTGGCTTTCCACCAACATCCCTGACAGCAGGACACAGAGGTCCTAGCTCAAGGCCTTGCAGTTTCTGCACCAGGTCGCCCTGCCCTGGGAAGGCAGGACCGGAGTGGCAGTGCAGCCCAGCACGGGCAGCCTTTGGGTTGATCCAGGGGCTTCTGCCCATAACCCTCTCCTGCCTTGGTCCTGCCTGGACTAAGTCCTCCCACACGGGAGTGCTGTGGACCACACACATGCTACGAGGAAGCACTGTCCTCTGCCCATGGAGCCCTGTTAGCTTTATTTACAGGGACCAGGGGATGGCATAGCAGTTATGTCGCTGGACTCACATGGTCTACAGCAGCTTGAGTCCCAGACCCAGTAGCTTCAAAAACCACAGCGCTTGCGGACACGATCCCGCACTTGGCCTCTTACTGTCTCTCTCCGGCTAGCGCATGTGCCTTAAGGCAAAAACCTCTAAAAAAAAAAAAAGTATTGAAGTTCATTTACTAATTATTAAGGACCTCCCCACGCAGCCTTCAAGCCCTGTGCATAAAACGCTGGGTCCCACAGGCAGCCACACACCACGGCTCGGAAATCGCAGGGTGCCCAGCCGGAATGCGGGCGGGAGCAGAAGTGAGCAGCCCCGGCCTCCCTCCCTCTCCGAGCGCGCGCCCCCGGGCAGTAAATCTGCCTTCGGGATTTAACAAACGCTAGGCGAGAGTGGAGACGGGCCTGCGTGCCGCCAGCCCGGGGCTGCTCCCGCACTTGCGTCCGCCTCCCGCGGGGTCGGTGTCCGGGAGCGCCAGCCTCCTACGGCCAGAAGCCGGAAGACGAGAAGCGACCCGACCCAGCGGCTCTGGGGCCCGTCCCCCGGGCGTCTGTCCGGCCCGCTCGCACCGTCCTCGGAGGCCGCCGGGCTCAGCCGAACGTAGCGGGCTCAAACGTAACTGCACAGCATTGACAGGCCGCGGCGTGGCGGCAGCGACCCTGACGCGGCGCGACTTCCGGTCGCCCTTTACGCGCACGGCGCCGCCATCTTGGGCAGAAGGAACCATGGGGGACGCCATTTTGCTCCGGCGGAGAGCTATTTCCGGTTCCGGCGGCTGTTCGTTCTTTTCTCCGCAGGGCCGCGGCGGGAGCGGTCTTGGAGCTCGTCGCTGAGTTATCCGGTGCCATCCTGGTCGCTGCGGCGACACTCGCACCCGCCGCCGCCCCGACCGCGCAG